ATTTGTGAATTGTTAGACAAGAACAAATGACATATTTTGAGCAGCAGATACTTTCCCACAGTTTTGAGTTTTTCATTATTTCCATACTTTGATTTATAGGGGTCAGAAGCGTGACCTTTCTAAAGGATGTACTCATATGAGAGAATAACTGGGGAAGTTCCTCTTCAGAGTCTTCCTCTATCTTGAATTTAAATTATTGAACCACCATGGCTTTTTTTCAAGTAGGGAAGGTATTGTAGAAATTGATGAAGATCAGTGATTGGTTGAATCTGGATCAATTTCCATCCCAGCTCTTCTCCACAGATCTGCCAGATATAGCTCTTTGTTTCTTTCAACAGCCAGATGTATGGAAGCTACAAGAAACCATGCTCAGCCTGTAGATTTTCTCTAGGAGTCTTGCAAGATTTTATTTGTGATCATCAGTGAGAAAAGCAAGGCTACACACACAGCTGAAGCAACTGGAAAGACAGGCATGAACAATATTTTCCTTCTGAGCATCATGAATGGAATATTTAACCAAAGAAACAATCCCTATATGAAATTCTCATATATATATTTTAAGGTAACCTGTGATATTAAAACAAGACATTAAAATCAGAAAGCATATTTAGCTATCAGCTAATCATAATATTTTCTGAATTCCAGACCTCTAGGTATATCTAGGTATATCATTATATACATGTAAACATTATACTAGCTTTGAAATATATACTTCTTTAAGTTAATCCTGAAAACATAAGCATTCTTTATCCATCAGTTTTGTAAATAAATTACAGTTTAGATCTATGCTAAAAATCAATAGCTAGGTCCCATGAACCTAAGACTTTTTTTCTTTCCTTAGCATTGTGATATCTACTGAAGTGATTGAAGTTGGAGTGAACTTTTAGTGTGAATAGATAAAGATCTGAACGTCCTCATGTTCAGACTAAGATTTACAGTATTCCTGATTCCTATTAATCAGCTGAATAACTAACTGATGTTCACATATATTAATCAGATATATTTCTATGTGTTTTCACATGGAATGGGACACTGAAAAATGTTAAATGGATAAAAAAGTTTTGTTTATACTGTTCTGTAGCATTTTGACAGGCAAGACTATTTGACAACTTCTCCAATGCATTCTGTAACATAATTATCTATTTTTTAACACCACTCAAGCGAACCACTCTGGAGGAGACATTATATAATTTCAATGTTTCTTAGAGAATCATTAATGTAAAATTGTAGATGAAAAAAACTCTAATTATGCTGTAGGAAATGTTATGTGGTAGGATGTGCATATGTTTTTAAAAGAGCCTGTAATTTGTGGATTTGTAACTAAATATCTGCAGTCAGTTTCCATTATTAAATAATTACTTCACATATGTGTCTGCTTTCCCAAACTCTTAAACCTGACTTTAGAATGTATAAGGAAAATGGCATTAGTTTATATATCTTTGTGTCAACAAGCTTTATACAACCATGTGTTACAAGTTGTAAAATTGGGATGCATACAAAGGGATGAAAAGATAGATACTGAGTTAAAAAAGAAGTATGCTTAGCATCATGAACGTAGAGATTGCACTACAAAATCTAGGAAACTGTACCTGGTGAATGAATTTTTATCTTCATATTTAGGAGCTTACAGAACTAAAAACACATCTAGCAACAACTGTTTCTGATTTTTTCCATGGTGTTATTTTACTAGATGAATTTTATCCTAAAATAATAATGATTTTCTTGAAAATAATTGTGTAATATAAAAGTGCAAAATAGTTGAAAATTATAATTAAGCATAGCAATTCCATTATTAATACAAGTCACACCCTTTATGAAGTCTTCCAAATAAATAAATAAATAAACAATAAAACAAACAAACAAACAAAACCAATCTCCTGGTCAATTGCATACATAACACTTTTCTGTCTCAGAGACAGAGAACCTGTAAGCATCGCTCTCAAGAGTACCAGATGGCTGAAACGGTTAGGACATCAGTCCCCTTTGCCATGTCATTGGACTCTGATCTAAATCAATGGGGAAAGGTCCCTAATATGTCTGCTTGCCCCTTTATTGTATAATCTTTTGACCTGGGTCAGATGCAAGGATCAATGGATTCTCATGTTTTCTGTTGAATTCACTGACTTCATATTATGAAGAGGACTATGTAGGACAGTGACAATAATAGCAGGGGACTGCACTTGAGTTAACTGAAAGAGCCTTCTACCATAAGTCTAGCCTGGGATTACTGTAAGCAAACACTGAGAAACATTGTCAGTGAAAGCAATTTGGGGAGAGGCTCTGGGAACTTTTGAAAGCCATGCATTTTTAAACATATGGCTTTTCACGATGAAGCTATGTTTTGGCAAGTGCTATTGTCAGACTTGATTAGATTACTCCCACCCTCACAGATCTGCTTAGAAGCTGAGGAACAAATCTAGAAAACCCGTGGGGGCATGATATCAAAGGGAATCAAGTGACTTAAAAAGAGTGTCTCTGCTTTCAAGAGCTTTTGATCAGGTCTTTTCTGGGTGCTCCTCTGAATAAAAATGTTGAGAAAACCATGGCTTAATTTACTGGTGGTAAGACCTGAGATGTGTCAGACCTCAGGATCCTAGATAAAGAAAAGTAGAACTTCTTGCATCTTTGAAAAGATTACTGTGCAGTAATGTTCCACTGCTGTTTTTGCTTTCAGCTACAAGACCCAGAGGAATATACAGTTTACATTCTCAGATTGTTTTATACACTCAGATTTTTTCAAAGGTCTTTTTTTTACAAACATGCAAAACTACAATGAAATGTCAGGTTCACAAATCACGCATAGCACTCTCCCAGTTTGAGTGAAATGAAGGAGCATGTATTTTTCTTCAGCAAATCTTGTAGGTCAAGGACTCTTTTCCAGTGTCAGGCAAAAATTGAGACAATGGTATATAGGACTATGAAACGGGGTTGTGTCTCATTGCTATGTAGAATACATATGGATCTTGGCTACATTTGAGAGTATGTACTTTCCAGTTTTTAATAAAACCAGTACTTTCACCTGGCACCACCCTTTTCTAGTGGTGGTGGAACAGATCTATAATTGCAATTATTCTCCTCATGGGTAATTTAGCTCAACTCCCTTCATCATGCAGGATATTCCCTTACATTATTTCTACTACTTATCTAATCTATTATTGAATAGTTCTGGTGATGGTGCCTCAATTACCTCCATTACCTCTCTCCCGATGCTTAACTGCTCTGTCTGGTATGATTTCCCCCCACCCTAATGAATGGCTTGGTTTGTTCAATGTGAAGTTTTAGGCTATGTTCCTTAGTTTGATCACTTTCACATTGTTTGAAACCTCTACTTTGAAGAGGTTTATGGTGTCATCAAGACTTGTTGTGTAATCTCTTCCAGTCCCCAGGCTTATGAACTGGGATTCTGTCCAATCCCTCTACCATTGATGTGGCTTTCCTTTACCCTTTCCTGAAGTTTTTATTGTGTGTGTTCTGCTTTGTTTTCTTCCCAAATGCTTAGACCAGAAATCCTCACAGTACAATGAAGTGGCATGTAAGCTGGTGATGCATAGTTTAAAAAAGTTGCTGTATCTCCTTCTCTTCATATTTCAGTGTCACAATACACTGCAATGCAATGACAGTTCTCTGCACTTTTTTTTTATTTTTCAGGGTCAACATGTTAATACATTGCTTAATTTTATTTACTGGATGAATCTTTATATCTACCCACCTATCCACCTGTCTATCAATCTATTTCACTTCCACTTCCACTATGCAGTGTAACCACAGTATATCAATAACACCACATACTTTGCTTACAGAAGCAGATCTATGGCTCCTATCCTTATTTTCAAGCAACACCCCTCTCAAGAGCATTTGCTGGTGACCCTACTGCCCTGAATATTATGTCCAAGGGAAAATGGTAAAGTAGAAATATAATTTGTTATGTAATTAACTTAGCAAAATGGGACCAATCTTGGTTGTGATCTTGAGGCTGAAAAATGCAAGTGTGTCACACATCAGTGATGATGCTGATGGTGTGGTTAGAGATCCTCTGTTGTGTAAACATGAAGTAATTTGGGATCTGTTCCAGCTTTCTCTCTGTGTGTGTATTGGGGCACATAGCCTAGCCAGGGAGAGCTTGGATGTCACCTAATACAGACAAGCAAAATAGAAACACCTTATATCAGTGAAGATATATATAGTTACACATGTAATCTCTGCAAGCATGTAACATATGCTTGAGCATTTGTGTGTCTTTGTTGTGCATGAACAGGTGAAAATGGCAAGAAAAGTAGCATAATTCTTTAGGAAGAAAGTGGAAGATGGGTATGAGGGGAACATATGTACCATGACAACTGTCTGATCTCTAGAAAAGGTGTAGTTTGGACTCAGATTTGTGCTATTTTCCTTGTATCACTGTTGCAGAAGAAATGGGCTTTCAAATGAAAAGTGCATTATCTGTTCACTGCTCTAATAAGTGTTCAGAGCTGGTGCTGGTGTCCTCTCACCACCACTGCTTCTGAATCCTTCCTGTTAGGGCCCAAAGGCACCTAAGTATCTCAATGGTACACTTCTGCCCTAAATAATATTTTTGTTTTCCTATGCATTTGGTAAGCAATATTTACCCAGGGACGATACAGCCTTCTTAAAGAGGATCTACAGAAAAGCTGGGGAGGGACTCTTTGTCAGGTACTATAGTAATAGGATGAGGGGTGATGACTTCATATTAAAAGAGCGTAGGCTTAGATTAAATATTAGGAAGAAATTCTTCGCTCTGAGGGTGGTGAAACACTAGAACAGGTTGCTCAGAGAAGTTGTGGATGCCCAGTCCCTGGAAGTATTCAGAGAGATTGTATGGGGCTTTGAGCAACCTGGTCTAGTGGGAGGTGTCCCTGCCCATGGTTGTGGTCATGGTTGTGGCTGTGGGTCATGGGTAGGGAACTGGATGATTTTTAAGGTCTCTATCAACCTTAAAAATCATCCAGTTCCCTACCCATGATCAACCTCTCTGTGATTCTGTGAGAAAAAAACTCAAAAGGGGACAATTACAGAGGAGGGATAACTAATCAAGCTCATCAGTGTTATGTGGTTCATCTGTGATAGAGTGAAGATGAGAACCCAGACTACAGAGATTTGGTATCCCACCAGGTAAAAGACAACAATAATAGCTATTTTAACTAAAATCTTAAAGTTTATATTTTTATTTTACTTCTCCTCAGAAAAGAAAACTGGCTGTAGATCTGGCAAGAAATACTTCAGCAAATATTACTTTAATTGTCAATGTTGATTCATCCAAAACACATCATGGGAAAGGAAGTATTTGGCTGAATTACTTTCCTCTAGGGCATTCTGAAAACACTGCAAAATCATCAGAATTTTTGGATGCAATGTTTTGAAAATGACAAGTGCTGACTTTATGATTTGAAATAAAGTTTTTTTTTTTTTTTTTTTTTTTTTTTTTCCTTCCTTAAAAAAATTCTACTGAATACATCTTAAAATGCCTGAAGGGAAAATAAAACATTGACAAATTAGAGAAACTGTTTTTCAGATATTTGTGATGATATTTTTCTGCAATTTTTGAAAGCTTTATTTAAGATAGGAATATATGTATATATTTAATTACAATGTTTGTGGAACTTGCAAATTATTTCAATAGCAGGCTGAAAAAATCAATAAGAACTAGAGAGGAACAAAATTCAGATCCTTCCTAGCATTTTATGCTAATTTCAATTGGAGTTAAGGCGGGCTTCTTTCCATGTTAGAGGCCAGCCCAACCCAAATTCATGCTTCAGGTACAAACTCTGAACACAGCTGGACATCCACATAATCTAGAGCCCCATGCCACCAGCCTCATTCCATCACACAAGTCAATGCATGCAGATTGTTTTAGCAGTATTTCCAATGAATCAATATTAATTTTAGTTATATTTTGGAAGTATTCCATGGATCAGTTCCAAAGCAAAAAGTCGAGGAGTGCAGCATTACATGTGCAAGTGTGACAAATGGAGTCTGACATGACCAGCAAGAATTAGCTCTGAATAGCCCAGCTTTGTGCACTTTGACAGACTTCCATGACTGCTCTCTGGAGCATGAAATAAGTCTAAAGTATGACTGCAGCTCTGCTAACAGTGTGCATGTTTCACCATAATTTCTTTATCATTTGCTGAAAAGAGTGAGAAATTGTGTCTTATTTATGCTTGTTAAAGAAGTAACACACACTTGTAATTTTTGTAAATATTTGAGGTAAGACAACTTATTTAGAACTTAGAATATAGAAACTGAACTGATCAGAAGTTGTTACACTCCTTGTGAGGAGATTGTCAAAAAAGATTCAGTGTTTGGGAATCTATAAATATCAGCTTGAATACCATCTGAGTTCAATTTGTAGATCCTGAGAAGACAACACATTGCCACTGGAAACCAGATCCTTTTCCTGGCTTAATGCTGCAAGTTCTCCAGATGAAAAACTCCTATTGGAGTCATTCTGAGAAACATCTCCTAGAATTTGGTTCCCACCTGCCCGTAAAGCAAAACAAGCATACCAACAATATGAAAACTTACTATCAACAATAAAGTAGAGATTACACCAAGGAAAGAATTGAGTCTTGAAAAACAAGTCAAAAATTCACATTTTATATTGGCTATGTAGGATTGTAGAGGGAACACAAAGTAAGGGAAAGGGACAGCATAGATTTGGCATTTAGAGAATAAGGGTTACATTAATCTAACCTTCTTGAAGAATTATTTGTTCTCATATTTATTTCTGGATAGATTAGAACATATTTTATTTACATTATGACCTCTGCATTGGTTATTACCAATGGTGAGATTCCTGTTTTAAATGAACATAATCAAAATGAGTTAATTAAACTACCATCAGAATATATCTTTGTACAGAAAATATGGAGCAAGTCAAGCTCCATGCAAATGTATGAAGTGCATTAAAGATGATCTCTTCTGAATGTAGTGGATAACCATTTATGGTCAGGTGCAACAATGAAAAGATGTCACAGCTTTAGTTTAGCCAATGTGTTTGTTCCTGAGTTACAGCAGGATTTGTACCAGAATCTGGAGTTGTGGAGTACCTGAATTTCATTTCTTCAGGCTTCATGAACAAATGACAGAGGTATGAATGAGAAACTGTATAAATAATTATGTTTTATAGCTATCTTTGAAAATGTGTGAAAGTAGTTACAGATAATTTGGTACGTATAATCTGATCAGGTTTATTAATGAACTCTTGATTTAATATCTCCTGTGACTTGATATGTTTGGTTGTGTATTTTTAAGGTTTCTGCTGAAAAAGGGACCAACACAAAAGACAAAAAAGCAAACAACAGATAAATATTCATAACTATCTGCTTGTTTTATGGGTAAAAAGAATGATACACTCAGCTTCTGGTCTTGGAGATATTCTTGCTGTAGAAAAGAAACACTAAAGGTAATTTCATTGCTGGTCTGGGGACTTTCTTGTGAAAAAAGACTTCATGCTTCAACACACTCCACCTCTTTTAAGTCTCTGAACTCAGTTGAAAATAAATTATAAATTGCACAGAAATAAGTATAAAAAATCTTGAGGCTGCTGTATGTAATTGGTGGAGAAAGGTCACTTTTTGACTTATGTCAGTGAAGGCGTAAGATTTTTAAACATGGGTCCTGTTCTGTGCAGGATTTGGCAGGATCAAAAATCTAGTTTGGTGAAAATACACATAACATTCCTAACCAAAGCCTGCGTTTGCCCAGTTTATTCATCAATCAACCAAGGAACACACGTATGCATTTTTACAATTTATCCTTATAAAAGTATCGAATAAGTATTTACAGGGAAGAGAACCCTGCAGAGTTAGTTATTCATTATTTTGGGAGCAAAGAAAAAAAGCAAGCTAAACTATAATTATAACCACGGTGATAATGTATGTAGGAATCCTTCTTAATCCAGGCTAATCTTGTTCATGTTCTTACCTACAATAAATATCTGAATGATTTTTGACAAGATCCAAAGTTTTGTCAGTTGTTAAGAATTAATTGAAAAAATTACTAGAGCACAGCAGCTATTTCAAAGGGACTGACCCAGAACCAATTAGAATTTTGTAACAATTGACCATTCACCACAAAACAGTTATCATGAGCTTTGGCCTCTGAAGTGTGGTGTTGGGGGTGGGGGAGAATCAGATTAAAGAAACTTTTAAATTTTTTTCCCCTTTAACTAAAATATCGTTAGTAGCAGCTTTCTCAACACAACTATCAATCAACTTATCTGAGTTTTAAAGGCTATGCTCAGTTTGCAGGAACAGCACTACAGAGTATAATGGATGATTATCCCCTGGCTTTAGATGATACACAATATAGGTTACTATCTTGAAAAAACAGGTCAGACATAGGAACATTCTTTATCAAATTGCTGTTGACAGCCCAAACAAGAGATTGAAGAATACCACAAAAAGGTTCTTTCATCTAAAGACAACAGAGTTTATAATTGGTCATTCTTTCCTCCTTCATCCTCTCCTTCTCAGCAGAAAAAATAAAAATAAAAAATCCTAATGCAGTTTCTTGAACATGGTCAGCACGAGGGTAGACTGGTATACACTGAGAAACAGATTCAGTGTTCAGTGTTGATGTCCAGACGCCTGGGGAGAGGTATATGGGGGGAAAGCCCACAGCAGTCTTAAATGTTGAAAAAGAATAAAAAGCTAGAACTTTGTGCTGGGTATTCAGTCTTCCAGGATGATAAATATATATATATATATATATTTTTTTTAAGGGAAAAAAAGAATCAGACATAAATATTTACCAGATACTTCTATAATTCATAAATGTGGAATATTTTATATCTTTTTATATCTTACTTTCAGCCCATAGTAAATATACATGGTAGGCATGCAACTGTACAAATATGTCTTATCACATCATATATTTCACTCAATACTTTCTATACGTATGCATATAGGTGTAAAACAGAAAGATATCAGATTGAAAGGAATGCTAGATTTAAATATTTAATGTTGAAGGCTTTTTCCAGAGGACCACTGTGTTTAAAATGAAAAAGTGTTATCTGATAGGCTGAATTTCTGTATGTTTCAGGCTCTTATATTTCACCCAGTCACCTCTCATTTAAGTTGCCTTGGGCTGGTTAAGGCATATTTCCATGCAAAATTTGCAAACTTATTTGGAAAATACCAGAGCTGGAAAAATTACTATTCTCTTTGGTGTTTTTCTGTGGCACTTAATCTTTCATGAAGAATAGCTAAAAAAAAAAAAAAAAAATGAGATCAGAGCAATTAAATCACTGTCCTACAAACACTTATGCTTTTGCTTACCCTGACACATGTGAGTAGCTCCACTGAACTCAATATAAAGAGAAATCAATAGAACTGCTCATGTGTATCAAGTTAAATATATGAATAAGTGTTTCTAGATTTGTAGCTTTGAAAAAGTCTACAGTAAGATTTTTACAGATTTTATAAATGCACTTTGTCCTGAAGAAGAATATTCATCAAGGAGGTTCATAACATGAATAAACTTATCCAACCATTATTCTACAATAATACCTAGCTCAGTTCATGTTTCTTCAGCTCTGGCTAAGCATTATGACTAAAAATAACAGAAAAAAAAATCCTCCAAACTTCACAAGATAAAGCTTCATATGAATCCCCTATGCCAGCTTCCTAAGAGGAAAACAACAACCACAATTACTAAGTGTCTGCAATAAAGTCAAAGCCTTTACAATTTTTTTTATGTATTTAAATAGTCCCAAATCCCTCTCCAGGGACTGAAAAGTATTTGTACTACTTTATAATAAAAATAGAGAATTCTCAGCCCGTTGAAGGATATTGTATGAAGTCTTCACAGTAAATCAGCACAGCTTTGTCAGAGGTTGCTACTGTGAAATAACTGAAGAAAGTTTGTGATAAAACAGAGTCTAAAGGTGCTTTTTTATTAAAAAAAAAAAAATAATACTAATTTTCATGAAATTTCTGACCTCTGTTATGTCTTGTTTTGTTGTATATGATTTTGAATAAAAATCATTCTAGAAGAGTAAAAAATCATTCCTATACAATTCAGGGAGTTCAAAGCTAGGAAAGGACATGGTCTCCTCTGAAGAAAACATTTTGTTGATGCATACAGACATACGCTGCCCTGAACCCCTACTGGATCAGGGAAAAATAACTGCAGAACAAGGATATCTTGGCTTCCTTGTTTATGTGAAGACTCTGTGTGGGAGTCTCACTTAAGTTTGGTTTCTAGATGAGTGTAATTCCAGTCACTTCAGTGGATTTATTTCCAATTCATTTAATATCATTGTGAAAAGAAGCAGACACAAAGTTTGCTTTGGCGCTGCACATCGTGTTGCGTCACTGTCTAGCAAGCTTCCCATTGCACATTTTTTCAAATGGATGCATCTGCCAGCCCAATACAAACAAAAATAGCTTGCATGTGTCTTACGTTAAAGCTGAATGAGAAACGTGATGCCACGTCTATGTTGTTCATTCACCAGTTAAAACCCTAATGTCTTATTAAAGACATCAGAGAAAGTGTGCATGTTTTTTCTTTCCCTCCTAATGCATAAAGGATGGGGTCAATTCCTAAGCAGCTTCCATTCAGAGAGCTTTTAGGAGAAGATCCTTTACTTTTGCATGGACTTGAGACTATTTTGTGCAACTTTGTCATATTCTTCTATATAACATGCTCAATCTTGCATCCATATCTGGCCTTATTTTCCTTGTCACAACTCAATGGTAGTTAATGAGACAAATCTTGAAAGCCTCAGTTCACGTGAATCTAGAATATCTGTGAGGCTTCAGGGGCTGCACAGTCTCTTTAAAGGTCTTCCTATGACTTGGATGTTCATTTCCCCCTCTCTTTTTATTTAATACGATTCATTCATTTAACCCTAAATGTTCATTTTCATGTTGCTCTGCTCTTCCTGTGTCTTAAAGCCATTAGATGAGAGCACTTTGACTCTCCACATTGACTCCAAATCAAGCTTTTGAGAAAAAGTCCTTTTGTGTCTCAGTGTTGAATGCAAAGCACAGTTTACAAAGTTCCCTGGTTTTGCTCTTGCTCTATTTAATGCAATGTTATTCCTGTCTTGAGCTCACTCTCCCTCTGTGTGCACTGGACTGTGCCCTCCCAGGCAGGCAAGTAGTCACTTCCATACAAATGTTTCAACTGGAAAATTGACTCAAAACTCAACCTACCACAATAAAGTGGGTTTTGTTTGGTTAATTTGTCTTCTGTGGTGATGTCAGTGAAGTGATAGCTTGGTGGCCAGTACCATTTCTATCTATCTTTCTCTTAATATTTTGTTCTTTGTTTTTTGAAAGAACATTTGTAAATAACTCAAAAATTAACAACAAAATGGTTTCTATGGCTCACAGGTCATATTACTCATGGAAGATGTTTCAAATGACAGCTGCTGCTGCTATTTTATCTATTTACTTATTTATTCATTTTTGTTTGTTTGTTTGTTTATTTTTGTTTTTAGAAAAAGTACAGTGATATGTTTTTATTATGTCATATCTAAAGACTCTAGCCATCCCAAGGAATCAATTGTGGGGCTTTGTGCTCACAGTATAAAACAGATTTTACTGTTCATCACTGTTGATCTAGATAAGTGAGACAAATAGTGTATTTACTTTATTCTGTAGGGGAGGTGGGGAAAAAAGAAAAATTCTGCCAAAACTGGGAATTGAAGTGAGCCTTGTGAAAAACATGAAGTGCCTTGATCTCCAGCCCACCCTCATCCTTATGTTTGCCATTTATAGGTGGGTTTTTGCTTTTCATGAATTCAAGAGAATACTCTGTTTGGGATTTCAATCCTCTTTCACCTACTTTTTGCTGTAACTTATTATTTGGCAGAAAGCTTAAAGGATGTGATGGTTTGTGTATTACTATTTCATCTGACATTGTTCCTCGCTCTCACTATGTCACTATATCACACACTGAGTCAAGGAGAAGATAAGAATGTGAAGGAAAATGAGATTGTTTATTCATAACAGAAAAGTTACAGGCTTTGTCTCAAATTATCACAAACACATCTACCTAACAACATTTCCCTTTTTTTTTTTTCAGCCAAGACTACTATTTTACCATCTTCATCAACTTTTCTCAATGACAGACCTCCCACCTATAATAATGACCTTAATATCAAGAGCAGAAGCGAGTGAAATATTTCTTACTGTGTTATGCTAAGGAAGTAACAAAATAGACAAGGCTCATGAGTTGATTCAACTTGTAGCTGCTGTTACTACTTTCTCTTTTACAGTGTTCTTTTTTTATTGTGATTAATATGGAGTTTATACAATTTAGCAGTATGTGATAGAATTTTTATTCCCACCTGGCTCTGTTTTTGCAGGTTTGTGTTAAGGGATGAAAATGTAATGTATTTTATCACAATGTCCTCTTGATGTATTTCCAGTTGTAACAGAGGGCAACTCACAAATAACTTGAGTGTATACAATCTTTTTTTCCGTTAAGTTGAATGTTTAGAGAAATTGTGATTTCCTTAATATTTGCTGTAAGAAATCTCCTATTCCCATCTGAATAAGCAGTGTTGGAGGTTTTTGGTTCATGAGTTGTGTTCAGTCCACATGTACACAATAATTCTCCATGGGGGCTGTGCTAATCAGTGGTCATTACTCAGGTGAATAAAGAATTACTGAACCTATTGCTGTGTATGCCAGAGAATATTTATGAATAGGAAATTTGGCTCCCACAGGCATTTATGGAGAGTCTCAGTCTTTGTTTTCCCAGTGTCTCTGCTCATGAAACTCAAAGGTATACATGTACATTGATTTCTGGACGTAAGTGTATACAAATTTCTTACAATGTGAGGGAAGTCACTGCATTGACTGTAGTGTCATAGTACAGCAATGAAGATCCAGCTTGGATCATCAACTACAGAGGAAACATTGCTTTTGGAGAGGTTGTAGAGGACCCATATATTTTGATCATACCAATTCCCTTGTGAATGGTAAGCTAATTCAGAACCAAAGGAAATGGTAGGAGAAAAATATTGAAATGCCACTGCTAAAGAAAGGTGATTTGGGATGTAGTGTGCAGCTATGGACCTGCATGGGAGAAAGAAAGGGCAGAAGCACATATGGCCAATCTGGTAGTTAGAAAATGACATGACATATAGATTATATTCAATAACACAATGATTTCCAGGTGACTCTATTAAACAATTTGATGCTGAATTATGATTTCCTGTATTCTCCCCTAAGACAGTGAATTTTCTGCATTATAAATAACAGGAGAGGGGTCTGTAACTTCCTTCTTATGTCTGATAAAGATAAAATGAGGAAGTTGGGTGAATAACTTTGAAGAAAACATTTATTCCTTCCAACTTAGATTTCTGCAGAAAGAAAGAAAAAAAAAAAAAAAAGAAAAGTATTTTAGATCTTTCATTCCTGAGAAACTCTTGCTTCCATAAATAAAACTGATATTTAAAGTTTGGTATGCCACTGATGTAAACTGTGAAATTATTATCTTAGAAATGCAATTTCACAAAGTGGCTCAGCTGCATTTTCAACACCCAAATCCTGTGGGGAACTTTTGTTTGTTTGTTTGCTTGCTTAGCACAATGGGCAATAATTTTAGGTATTATGATAACATAAATAAAACAAATTATAGATTTATCATATCGTAGTTATGAAATCTACTTCTGGATATATTCAGGCCATTTGGCATCATGTCTAGGCTGAGGGGTTTGCTGGAAATTAGGACACTTCTAAAAAGGTTTAGTGGTCTTCGATGATGCAGCAGTTTAATGAAGTAAAATATTTTATTAATTAGAAAAAAAAATAATCAACCCAGGACTTATGTGTAAGAAAATTTGACTTCACCCTCCAGTCAATTACTTCTTGCATAAATGAGAGCAGAGTTTGGGGATTAGTGCAGCTGTAGTTCTGCTTGTCCTTGGGGCAGTTCTCCAAGGTGATGTGGAGCAGGAACACTCCTCTCACACTCCTCGTTCTGAGAGGAGCAGCTGAAACAACCATGCTGCATTGCTGATGAGAAATCAAATGTTGAACAGTTGCAAACAATCCTGATGTGCTTCTCTGAGTCTTTTTGAGCTTGTGGCTTTCTAGCTGCTCAGACTACCCTGTTGCTGGAAACTTCAATGACTAGGAAGGTGGCAGTGACTTTCCTTGCAGAGGAATGTCCATTGGCAAGCTACTTCTTTCAGTCGATCTAGAAACCCACCATTTGGTGAGTTGAACACAGGGTGAGTTCAAGCACAGATGAAGGCAATGTAGAGTAACTCACCATATTTTTATATGATTTTACTAGTTTCCAATTTTCCTGAATGCTTCAGAACTATGAAGAGCTTGAGCTCTCAAACTGATGTATAGGCACCAGCAGAGAGAACCTCAGGTTCTCTGTAATATTATAGTTTGAACTAGCATCATTATATTCTGGATTATTCATTATCTTTTTAGTAAATTAATTTCATGCCAATAGACTTTAGTATACAATTTAAAAAGAAAAAAAAAAAAAAAAAAAAAGAACAAACAAAACCAAAAACACCTCAGTTAGGTTTTTGATGTAGATGAAATATTGGGAATCTTCATATTAGGAAAATAGCCAATTAAAGTCTCCTTCTTCCCCTTTTACCTTATTTGGCTCACTGTGCATAAAAAGTCATCTGATACTCAAATCTAGCAACTTTGGCTATTGTTTGCTTTTCTGGTGGGATTAGCGGGTGCCTCAGAGATCTGAGAAAGGATTCAATAAAATCAGTAGAACTAAATATCCTCTGGTATTTTAATCTAGCTGTGGTGACCAGTTTGTGGATTTCAAGGTCCAAATTCTTCTTCTTAGGGGCAACTTAGTTAAGTAATTCCTGTGTGAATGAGGAGGAAGAATGTGTTCCTGGTGTATTCTCTCCTTTTCAAAAATAAATGTCTAAATCATCCTCATTCCTGCTAGAAGATGGCAAAGCAGGTGGGTAATTCTCTTTCCCTTGTTTTCTTCCCTTCTTGCTTTCTGAAGCTAAAGATCATCAGGTTTCCTGACCATTTCTGAGGAAAAAATTCCCCCAAAAGCAAATGCAAGCTATGAGACCAGAGCAACACTCGGAGATGCAGTGAGAAAAAGACCACGCCTTCCTAATGAGCTTCCATTAATGGATAATTTATAGTGCAGATAATGAAAGTATTGATCGGTGCTCTTTAACTTTGAAATATTACATTTAGCTCAAGGCCATAAAGATTGTTTATTATAGTGGTGATAATAACACTCTGTGGAAGCAGGAAAGCTTGTTGACATCTATGAGTTTCCACAAAAAATAGGGGAGAAGTTCTGAAAGGTCATCAAGGTCTGGAGGACTGGGGATTATTTTCACAAGAGAATACTGATGGTAATTCTATAGAAATTGCTTATTTGATCCTGATTAGGGACAAAAAGAGGAGCTGATAAGTATGGCATACCTAAGCATTGAGGTCATATGTGAAGGTACAAATATGCTCTGATAAAGACTGGCATCTCATTTGGAAGAATCTTTTCCATTTGCAAAGTATCCTGATATGGAAATGAACATTAAAATCTGGGGTCCCTGGATCTGGAGTCTTTAGAGCCCAACCCCCTTACATGTTATCAGACAGCTGGCTCTGTTGGGCACTAGCATTTACCTTCACTGTTTGACGGGTACAAAAATGGGGGGATGCCATTTATGTAAGCTCAAATGCAGGCAGCTGTTTTTGGCAAACTGAATCCTTCTGCTTCTGCTTGCCAAAGAGCATGAATATTTCTCTGAATTATCTATAAAGGGTGCTGGGAAAGTGCATCCACTGGTGTTTGTAAAATTATATGAAATTTAAACAGATATGCTATTAGTATAGTTGGCATTGAACAGAAATGTTTCTATTAAACTTAATTGATGCTTTCAGAAGATATATTTGAATTCTCAATATTTTCCCTAAATTACATACAGCCTAATAATCAGTGTTTTTCCACCATCTCCAATACACTCAACAGCCTGTTGCAGCCATAGTATGAAATGGTGCAGCACCTGACGTTACTGCAGTCCCCTACTGGTGGAGAAAACTGGAGCAGACTGTACACAGATAGGGATTGTGCTGGCTGTAAACTGGGAATTGCTAGATTTATTTCCATCATGCAGTCTCCTAAAGTTTTGACATCTTCATCAAACTAATGAACAAAAAAGTGACAGACGTATTGGTTCACTAATATTAGGTTACCAGTCTTTTCCTTAAGTCCCCATTAATGCTTCTTCCTTTGCCTGCTAATGCTAGGATAACAGATAGCAGCCAGACTTTCTGGCTCTACCATGTGCAAAACTTCTAAACATTGGGCCATTTTTGTCTCCCACTGCACTTTGCTATAAAACCACAAGGTTAACACGACCTTCTGGCCCATTCCATTTTGTGTCTTGTTTTGAGTCAAGCTTTGTTAGGGACAAAAATCTATGTTATATTCCATCTGATCAAAGTACTTCAGATGAAGACATGCCATCTGTATTCATTTAGTGATATCTAAGACTATAGAGCATTACAGTGGTATTTTGTACTTAGTATTGATTGACTTCATTTGTAGCTATTATAGACACCGGACACTGTTCACTTTTAAATCTGAGCGTCAGATTTCCCATCTACAATCTCCAGGCACTCTCTTCCCACTCCCTTGCTTCCATAGCAGCTTTCAAAGGCTCTGTTTGAAAAAGCTTCCTTTAAAATAATTGAAATAGTGTAACATGTTATACATTGCATTCTTGTCACAATTTTCTATACTGTTATATTTGTTAAATGTCCTAATGCCCCTGTGGAGGAAAGGTGCTCAAATCTATAATTTACTCCATATCTACCAGATGACTCTGTTTGCACTTTGTTGCTATTATTACTAGTAGTTGTAGTTTTTGCATCACTACAAAGTGTTGTTACAGATCAGATCTCTATTAGCTAAGCACTGCATTTTTGTTCTGTTCTTGTTTAGCTCCTCCTTCAGAGTTGGCAGCATGACCATATCTACTTACATCTTTATATACATGTAAGTGGGTTCTCAAAGCCATCTTCACTGGCAAATTTTCAGATGAGTTCTGGCCACGGTAATACATGTCAGAGGTAAAGAAAAAGATAATAGCTTCACACTTTACAGCTAGGCAGACCTGAACATGGGATACTTTCATCAGATGTGGATTTTGAACTTGGGCAAATCAGCTAAAAATTTGATCTATTTTCCTGGTTATACCTAAGAAGATGAAACCAACTGGTTGTGTTAAAAAAATATAAAATTAATCAAAAGTTATTAATGGAGTTTATTGCTGCTGCCTGTTACCTTTAGGAGAACACTCTGCAAAGGTTAATCAGAAATTGGCCTGGCAAAGGACAAACCAAGGTATAGATAAGTGGATAGGTTTATTTCTGTTCAAAAAAAACCAAAACCAAACCAAACCAAAACAAAAAATCACCCACACTGGGAGAAAAGAAGTGTTAGGTCCAAAAGCACCTATCTAAAGTGTCAAAATAATATGATAAATCTAGCATAAAAGCTTAGAAATGACAGTGTCTCTGTAATTCCAGACGGGATTTCTAGCATTGACACTGGGGGGGTCCACAATACCTGAACCAGCAAAGGCTTGGAAGTTGTTACAGCGGGAAGTGTTTTATAAAACCAAAGGAAAACGTAATTC